TACAAATCAGTGTTTATCCTGCGCCGTTCGACACCTTACAGACAGGCTGCTACCCAAGCACCTGCTTATGGGTGCCCACCGTTATTCTCTTGTAACTTAATGTGTGTTCACCTGTATTCTGCTCTATACATTCAGGAGGTTTTTACTGAGAGCCAGATTATCCACAGAGGTCTCTTTCTCTCCATAACAATCAGTGAAAACAGTTGAGCAGTTTCACCTTTTTTCGACTCCACTCATTGCGGAGAGGCTGCTACCTGTGGTGGCCGATATGTAGTTAACATGGCAGTCTCCGTAAATGAGGACCCACTCCCTATGTAGATATAAAAGACACATTCAAAGGTAAAAAAAAAAAAACACAATGATTTTTATTTTCAGGTGATTATACACAAGAAAACAACTTATATTGTATTCCATTTCTTCCAAGATATCCTCCCAATTCCGACACACTGGACTTTTAATCACCTCTCTGAACCGCTTATCCTGTTCACATTCATGGGGGGATTGTACATGGTGTTGTACAGTTCTGCAAACCATAGCTATGCTACATATGCAGGGGTACAGGGGTGTGGTTTCTCATTATTTGACCTGTTCATTCACTGTCATGGCGGCTCTTAGACAAAAAGGGGGAGTTTTTGGCTCTGATAAATTCTGTTGACCGTAATCACACATGTAATATTTCGTGTCAAAGTTCATTTATTTGTCTCCCTTGGGAGAAATTTGGTTTAGAGACAGGGTACTGCTGCATAAACAGCAAGAAACATACAAACAAAAATATGTAAAAGACAGTAAAACATTCAGCATTAAAAACATACTGGTAACCAGATAGGGACCAATGTGCAAAAAGATATTTGCTCATCTGAGCGGTCCGGGGGAAGTGTGGTGTAGCAGCGGCTGGCACTTCAGGAGGAAGCTTGTCAACTCTCCCCAGCCTGTCAGCTGCCTCGCTGATGTCTCTTGTTATTATTTTCCTCTCATTCTGCTGCCTTTTCTTTGCAGAGTCATGAATAATTTGTGTCTACGCCTTGTTGCTTGATGACAGCTGTGCAGTTGGTTTGCAGTCTGTTTTTCAGATCAGGTGAATAATGAATAAGCCTCTGCAACAAAAGAGCTATGTCCTATATGTGCCCTGCCTCCCTTCATCAGTCCCAGCTCTTAGTTGGCGTGTGAGCCACTGGGGAGTGGACAGGTGAGCAGGAAAGTCTCTCTGATGCAGAAAGTTTTCTGTCTATACAGAGTGTCTGAAAACAGTTTTCTTGTATATCTCTTTATCTTTCAGTAAGTTCTTAGAATCATTTCCTGTATCTGAGCCTATTAATCAGTGCTTTTTCTCCGGAAGCTTCGTGTTAGAAATCCTGTTATCTCTCTCAGGGTATCTCTCTTTGTAACTCGTCAGACCTGTGTGAAATCTGCTGATCAGAGCGTGACAGCAAATACCACATTATTATTACAATATACACAAGAGGTCTGCTCACCCTCAGGGGAACAATCACATTTACTCTCTCTTCATGGTGTCTTCCTTATCTGCTCTCATGAAAAAACATACACATCTAACCGTTCACCAGATGGTTCTGATTCTAGATGTTTACTCTTCTTGAATGTGTGGGTGTGATCTTGATCTTGTTTTTTTTTTTATCTGTGAGGTATTGCATGTTATGTTTTGATCAGATTCTCTCCTTTAGTGCGTCAATTTGAGTTTCACTGTTTATAAATCAGATGGGGTGTGGTTTCAAAAGCTGTTGTAGCATCTTCTCTGCAAATTTTGAGTCTCATTTTAAGAGTTTTGTTTCTTTCGGGGAAAAAACTCATTTGTAAAACTCTTTCTGTCAGACAGTAAAACCCATCATATATAGATATGCTTGTTTAAATCCAGACTGTGAATTCATTCATCTTGTTTAAACAGTAGAAGATGCAAAAAGAAAATCAAAATCAAACAGCAGAGTGTGTCTCTAAAATCTCTCCTTTATTATTCATGTTTAATTTTACATAAATGATGAATCACCCAAAACCACGAAACCCAGACGCTGAACTTTCTAATTGCACAACTATGTCTGTCAAGAGCAGTTAATCCACTCATACCTCTGGGTGAATGCATGTGTGGCCGTGTGCACAGATGTGTGTTTGTTTTTTGCACTTATGGGCCGAGATGCAGGCCTAGATTTGAGCCTTAGACTGCAGTGCTCTGATTACTCGCCCACTCAAATCGATTGAGCCATTTTCTATTCATATTTGATATGCCTCGGGGCAGTGGGGTAATGCTTTAAAAAAATCCACCCGTGCCCTTGGAGGAAATCTGGTCAGCCTAATGGCTCGTTTGAAGGTTTTTGCTTGAAGAGCTTCTCTCTGTGATTGTGCTTGAGGAGCGTCTCTCAGAGGGAGTCATACAATACCTTCTGAAACATCACAAATGATTCGGTTTCTGAATAAACTGCTGTTGAGTTGCTTCAAAGAGTTATTAGAGGAGTTTGATTTTGATGTCTGATGTCACACCTAAAGTTACCCACTTGCCAGTTACCTCAAAGAGTCGTGGTCAGGCTGATGGCTTGAGTCGGCCTTACCTGCAATGCTATATCTCAATCTAGTTTTTTTGGTATGAGTTGCCAACTGGGGGAGATATCAGCCGTGTTTGTCGATGTCTGCCTTCTCTTTGATATAATGGAACTAGATAGCATTTAAATACATTTGAAAAACTCCACAGCAATATGTCTTTTCAGAAATCATGCCCGGTTACTTAAGATAATTGCAGCAGGGAGCATGCATCTACTCACAGACAAGAGACTGGTGCTCATGACAGCATGAGACGTAGACATTGATGGAGTTCTCCTCGGCCAAGCTGTAACTTTAGCTACCTCAGCGCTGCTAGGTGAGCTAGCAGCAGATGCCAACCTGTTCTAATTCTGAAGTTTTCAAATACCGCCGCTAGGTCAAAGATTTTCGCAAAAGCCATCCTTCCGCAGAGCTATGATACGTCACCGGTATATGGACAGCGTCAGTTTGAAACACTGCTAGAAAACAGCAAGGAGCTGGAAATTCCCCATCGGGCAGGCAGGAGGGAAGGTAGGTTCGGCAAACACCTGACTTTCCCCCTGAAGCTCTGTGTTCACTTTCCGTGGCTAGGTTTTATTTCCTAAACCTAGACACATGCTTTTGTTGCACAAGGAAATAAACGTAAATATGAGGTGTTTTACCGGCGTAGCATACAACAGGCGTAAATTGACCCGCTGTCCCAGACCATCAAGAATAGATGCACCCAGGATACCAATGTGGATGTCAAAAGTCCACTGAACAAGCGGCGATATGTGACAGGTTGTTGTAGATGCACTCTTCCTTCTGCATAGTGATACAGTTGGTGGGTGTAGCTCAGTAGAGAGAAAATAGTTCCTACATGAGACTGCTCACAACAAGGTCTGTGGTTTATCTTGAGTAACCGGGTCATGGTTTTCAGAAAGACACATTGCTGTTGAGTTTTTCAAATGATGTTTTTGGCGCTTTGAGCACCACAAGCTGAATGCCATCTGGTTCCATTATATTAGAGAGAAGGCAGACACCTCTACATTTGATATCATCAACACTCTGCAACACACACCAAAACAATCCAGATTGATAAATAGCACCACAGACAAGAAGAAAATATGTATTTTTGAGTGAACTGCACTGGTAAATTCAGCATCATTCCAACTAGAGGACATTTGCCTGTGACCAGAACTTAGTGTGCCCTTTTCAGACAGCAAACATTTGTCTTAGTGATTTATCTGTTATACACTTGATCATTTCCTTTATAACCTGCACATTTCCTGTAAAGTGAGTCACTCTATTTTTAAACTGCACTGTTAACATAAATGTCATGTTGTCACACATGAAGTGTGTTTTTATTTAACAGATAATAAAGGATGTGGCTCACTCTGTGCTCCACAAGGTGCACAGCTCCATTAAGTCTAGCTTTAAATGAGCTTGCCCTTTTTTCCTCCTGTTCTCCTTCAGTCTGTTCATCTTGGGGTTTAAAATATTCAGTATTTTCGCAGGCCTGGATGTTGTACAATTTGGGGGGAAGTGAGGCATAGAAAATCCTTGTGAGTCAGTGATTTCAATCAATGTTAAAGGAAGACGACTAACTGATTGTTCCTCTTTTTTTTACGTCTCTTTTGCCTTGTTAAAGATGAGAGAGTGAAATAATCAAATGGTGACCATGTGACAGTTAAAGCATTAGTGCAAAACAAGATGGAGGCTATAAAAATAATGGTATCTTCGGGTGAAATGCTTTTCTGAAGTTGATTAATTTGTTTCAGATGTATGATGATGACTAATTTAAAGTTATTCCTATCCCCTAACTCAATGTCAATGTCCCTTTAAAACCACTTTAATTTGTTGCAAATTAACTTCACTGTCGTTTCTTACAGGGAATTGTTGATTTCAAACTGATGTCCTGCTTATACGGAATCCTGATAAACTATCTCAAACCCCATCCCTCAGAGGATCACAGCTGCTGCCTTGTCAACCAGCTACCTACCTTCCTACCAAAACTCGTTCCCCCCCCCTTTTTGTTATTTCTAAAAAACAGTCATGAGGGTAAATAGCATCTGGTTAACGGTCAAATCTGCTCTGACTGTTTGGGGTTCAAACACATGTGGTCAAAACAAACAGGAGCCGCGGTTGCCTCTGGGCAATCACAATCACAGCAGCAACACGGTTAAACGTCATGGCCCCTTTTTTGTCGGCCAATAGCTTTAATTCACCTCAACACTAAAAGTGGAAGGTTGAAATAAAATAAAGATAAATTACTGCCAAAGCGAAATTGATGCTATAGCCTAAATCATATGGTTATTATATAAAATAGCGCATTATAAACGACACATTTTTGAATTTAGACTCATTTTATTCTGCATTTGGAGATTTTTTTTTTTTTCATTTGTAGAAGTTTTACCACTTTTATATTTTTTTTTAAAAAGCAATAAAGGCATTTTGAAATTCCAAAAAACAACTAGAAAATAAAAATAGCCTGGAAAACAAATTATATTTATTTGTAAACGACAAAAAAAAACTGTTCATTCTGAAAATAAAATGTGCAAAATGTAAAATCAGCAGATCACAGCTCCGTGAGTAAGGCAGTAACCCTCCTGTTTATTAAATCACACAGTTTGAGGAGGCTGTTTTGCCAGCATGTCTCCACACTGACAACAAAAAAAGCCTCGGCTCTTTGGAGAAGCGCAGATTTTCATCTCTGTTGGCTTTATTGTCGATCCGGTTCTTAAACTCTGAGTACAAACATTTTGAGCTTAATGCCCACTGAAGCTGATTCATGACACATGTACTTGGATCACACTTCATCATATCTGCATGTCTCACAGTTAACAGCTTATCTCTGGTGTTCTGGACCTTTATAGCAATCTGCAGTAGGATGGTAGAATTAGTGTTGTCTTCACTCTGCAAAATAAGTCGTTTAAGTCTTATTCTTGGGACGTATAGGTTTTCTTTATTAAAATAAATAAATAGTCTGCCTATCGGCTGACATATATATTTCCAATTTTAAATTTTTACAGAGCTAAATGTGGATCAAGTTGTGATCCAAGAAATGTCCTCAAGCAGAGCGATTGGAAAAACATGTCCTCGGTCTTTGCGTCAGGTGTCCGCGGTCGTTTCAAGACCAATGATTTAAAGACTCAAGTCAGATTACATGACACGATGTGTGCAGTCAGTGTTCGCCTCATTTCAGTCCGTGCTGCGTCTCTTTGTGTCTCCTCAGATCCACTTTCCTCTGGAAACCTTTGCCGCACAGGTCGCAGCCGAAAGGTTTGTATCCGGTGTGTTTCCTGCTGTGTGTGATGAGGTTGGAGCTCTGGCTGAAGGCTTTACCACACACCTGGCATTTGTGTGGCTTCTCACCTACAAATAAAACAAATTTAGAGAACTTATAAATTATGGTTAGGGCTATTTTATTGAAAATTCGCTAAATATCGTGGACATCTGGAAGATTTTTGACTTTTACGCACGGATTTTAAGTACAATGCAAATGTAACTTCGGCCAGATGTTTTGCAATATAATCCGCCCTTTCTCGACTTACCTGTGTGGATAAAAGTGTGTTTCTTCATGTCCGACTTCTGGTGGAACCTCTTACCGCAGTACTGGCAGGGGTACGGCCGAGTGTCGGAGTGGATGAGCAGATGCGTCGACAGAGTTGACGACCTCTTGAAACTTTTACCGCATATTTTGCAGTCGAAACTTCTTTCCTGGAACGTGAGCAGAGGCTGCTTTAAGTCATGATTTCAAGTTAGCACACCCATCCTGACGTTAACAATAACAACATGCAGGCCCAGAGAAGGTGCGAAATGCAGGATGCGGTTTAATGGCGTGTGAAGTTACAATACCTGAGAGTGCACGGCTTTGTGTTGCTCCAGGCTGACTGCGTGTCCGAAGGTTTTGCCGCAGATATCACACGCAAATGGCCTCGTGCCACTGTGCGATCTGCGGACGTGGACTTCCAAACCGTGCGGAGTAGAAAACACCTGCAGGCGAGAGAAAATTTCGTCGTGGAAGCGTCGGGAAAAAATATCTTTATCCAAAAATAGAAATATGTTTTGTTAATTTAATAACTAGGTCCAGTTGGGAAATCTCCTAAAGATAACCCTGTCTTACAGAGGTCAGAGGTCAGCCAGTGTGTGCTGTCCTAAAGTCAAATTAACCACTTAGATTATTTGATTTACAGGCAGCAACCTGTTTTTATTTTAGATGCGATCTTGGGCAGTTACAGAGTATGCACATCCACCTCCATCCTCACCTTACTGCACTTGATACACTTGTAAGCGCCATTGAGGATCAGACTGGAGCACAGCAGGTCAGACTGGGCCTTCACACTCTGGCTTTTTCCATGCAGGCCTCCGTCAGTAAACAGCAGAGCAGCAGCGTGCCTCCTGTAGTCACCATACGCCTCCTCGCCCAGAGCACGCTCTGCGTACAGGGCTGGGTGGCTGCTCCGGTCCCCGTAGAAGGCCAGCGCCGCCGGGCCCCTGTCCACCTCCATGCCGGGGTGGAGGCTCGGCGGCACCAGCGGCCTCAGCCCAGGCCCTGGCCCCGGGTAGCTGCTCCAGGCATACGGCCGGAAGGGGACGGTGAAGGGCTGCGTCTCATCCACCAGAGGAGACAGGGATTTCTCAGAATCAACTGGAGAGGGGAGCAGAGGCCAGATGAAATTTTAATGATTGAAGTGGGCGATTGCAGGACCCCACAGGACCCGACGGGGCTCTAGGAGTCATGCAATGTTCTTTTAGAGAATTCCCAGATGATGATGGGGAAACCAGAAATAATAGATCTAAGAGGTCAGAGTGCGCACTAGAATAATCAATGAATATGGGGGAAATTGTCTTAAAGTTGACGGCCCAGCACACTTTTATATACACATCAACAATTAAAGTCATAGCTTAAAAGTGACCAGATTAGTTACTGTATATACAATGTGGCATCATCTAAAAGATCCATAAAGTGTGATCATTTCAATCAACTAAACAGATCTTGTGTTTTCAGAAATGTGCTGAAAAATTGGCAAAATTAGACAAAATCCAAAAATAAAATTATATTCCTTCCCACAGAGACGTAAAATGTGTCTGCGGTGTAAACAGTAATGCAAGCTAAGTGATGTGTCTTTGTTGTTGTGTGTGTAGCTACCCGGGGATGCAGAGGGGGACGGAGGCCTCCAGAAGTCCTCGTAGTCCGGGGAGCGACCACACAGACTGTCGGCGCAGCTCAGCGGGGACTTCGGGGAGAAATCAGCAGCGTCGGCCAGGTGGGAGTCAGGTGAGAGACCGTACCTGTCCACCGACATGTCGGTATCATCTTGGAGCTTATCTGCGTCTGAGAGGACGCACGGGGGACACTCAGCATCTAAACGGAAAGGAAGTAAGGAGGTTTTAATGTTTTTAAACGTGCTGCACAACTATTATCTCCTGCACAATTAGGTCTATTATTGGAGATGTAAAAACTACCAATACTGAATTTAAAAAATGCTTGGCATGTGTATTGCTGTTAGGGAACTACAGAAGAATTATTTTAGTAATAATCTATTTTGTAATATAATAAAAAAACAATAGTGACGCAATATATAATAAAAAACATCACTATAAATATGTAAAAAAAAATATTTAGCTAAATTGAATTCCACTTTGATTTTTTTTCAGCACTTCCTGAAAATAATTTTAAAATAATTTTTCCCATAAACCAAAGCTTTGCAGTCATTTAAACTGCAAAATCATGAGCCTACTTTTTAAGTATGCCTTCAACCAAAAATAATTATCCTGTAATATCTGCAATAATTGCGGTCAAAATGTGTTTTAAAAAACGGTGATAAATGGGATAAAAAAAATAACATTTAAAGACACATTTAACGCAGTAAAGAATATTTTTAAACTGACTCACCTGAGCATATATGCGCCAGTATAGTGTCCAGCCTGCTGTAGTCATCCTCCAGACTCCGGGGCTGGTGGTAACTGTGCGCCCTCTTACTCTTCACCATGAAGGAGCGAGGCATCTCTGATCTGAGAGCGGACAAATCAGTGAGAGTAATCCAGCTGCGGAGAGAGGAGTCCTCAGGTGGACGCTGCTGCTCCGTCTCTTCTCCACTGGTGGCGAGGTGCGGGTCCAAGTGCTTTAAGAGATTTCAACCTGACCACGGAGCATGCGCACAGCGTCCGTCCCGTCTGCCAGGTGTTGCGCGGACAGGTGTCACTGCATAGACCCCTCCGCTCCGTGCGCTGCAAAGAATATCCGCCTGCGGTGTTTTCGTCAACACATAGTGAGGGGGTTACAGGTATTAGGAGAGAAGTCTGCAGCGGGGGCGACGTCGTTTCACCTCAATACAGATTCACTCATCTCAGGACTTGACTTGACAACACATGACGGATGACTCGCCTTTGCCCTGCTTTTGTTTCGAGAAACAGCCGTGGAGTTATCAGCAGTTGGTTTTTTTTACAGACAAGAAGTGACTTTTTGAAGCCGGACTTTTTTGCAGCGTTGAACCCTCCGCCTGCAGCTGGTGGTCCCCCCCACCCCTCGGATCAGACTGCAGCTCGTGTCTCTAGAGGAGCTCGTGGCAATCAGGAGGAGTGATACAGGCCTTATCAGCGCCTTACTCAATCTGACAGAGGGAGAGGAAACACGGAGGCGCACCCCAGGGTGTCTGCTGCTGAGAGCCTGCGTTTAGTACGTAGTGGTAAAATAAAGGGGCGGGGGAAACTCTGAACCTACAGGGTCCTCTTCTGCGTTATATAGATCATAATCACTTAAAAATACATACAGTTATTGTGCATCCCTGCAGGTTTATCAGGAGTGTGTTTGACCTTTTCCTGAAAGACGGTAGAATAAGGTATTAGAAGCATATGCAATAATTTTCAGTAATTCAGTATAAAGCTTCACATTAAATGCACATGATTGTGTTTAAACCTCGGCCTGCGGGATATGACAAACTGTGGCGGAGCTCTGTCGCGGTCTGGTGGTCAGTTAGCCCGTTTAGGCTGTCATTCTGTGACAGACACTCGCCGTGCTAACGCCTGCGGTGGTAGTTTCACATTACCCTGAGCATAGTGTTTAAAAAGGAAGAAGTGACAGACAGTTTGTGTTTTTTGTTTGACCAAGACGCAGATTGTAGCGCGTCATTACGCACCGGACAAAAGGATAGAGTCGTGCGTCCTGGTGCTTTGTATCCACTGCAGGTGCATTAGTAAATCCCAAAATGCAGTGAGGGAGAGATTGAGTAGCACAATGGAAATCATTAATATTTGATGTTACTGGCACTGTCTGTGAACATCAGTCTATTTTTGTGCTTCCCGGTAATAACTTTTTGTGTCAAAAATAGGATGACATTATAGATCGCCCAGTTTTACGCACACTGTATGAGTACAGCGTCCTCTGCACCCACATGTCTTTATCAATAAATCAGCTCAAGTCAAATCGTCCATTCTCCACTGAAACACACTTTTGGAGACCCAGATCGGTTTCATCCAGGACTCATCAGATTTAACACGATGACACAATCTGGCTCTGTGACAGCTGCAGACCGCACTCAACACATTTTCAGTCCGAGCAGCGCTTTTCGGCTTCAGGCGAAGCAGCCTATCAGTAAATGAAGGGCAGGAAATCAAAGCGCCACATGCCCTGGCTCGATTAGACACCACACGGCCGTGGCATCCGGACACACTGCTGGTGAAGATATGAAGCCCGAACCGATAAAAGCAGAAGCAGGCCAGTGCTGCTGCCCGGAGAGAGCCGATAGGCCGACACAGAGTACTTTCGTAACGCTGCGTTAAAACTGCCAACTGTGGCATCCTGTCATGTAAATACAGAGTGAAATACAACAAACCGAATGCGAATAATAATTATCATAATAATAAAACTGCAACAATAATAATTTAAAGATTTTTAATACCTCTTGTTCTGCGAAACCCGTTTTTTAACTTCATTATATATTAAATTATTTTCCTTAGTGTTTCTGCGTAATGCATCCAAATATTGCCCCCTTTCTATTGAAATTCATCCTTATAAACGCCTGTTCAAATGAAAACACCAGATGATTCATGCCCCCTCCCACACTGCACCACTGTCTGATTTAAATGCGTTCTTATTATGGTGACCGTTTCAGGATGCACGGTACAATTTGGACAAATAAGGTTAGTAAAAATATATATTTAAAAGGCTGTAGTAGTAACACCCATGTACTTGGCTACTCATGTTAAAACAAATGGGATTTTGTCCCAAATTAGGTTGCTAATTGTAAATCCAAAATCACAATCTAAAATAGTTTTATGTGGAAACATCATCAGACACGTGTCTGTTCGGTAGATACAAACATGAGTTCTCTTACAGTGATTAGGTTTTAAAACCAGCCAGATTTGAATAACTGCCCTCCACTGCGCCGTGAAGTGCATGTTCAAAATATCAAGCATTATCAATCACTGCGATACAAAATAAATAAATCACACTGAGCTCATGACATCACAGCCAGACTGCACTAATGTCGAATAAAAAATCTCTTTATCTCCATCAGCATTTGGCAATAACACAAACCTGGTTAATGTTTCAGAGTGCCCCGAAGAAAGATGCTCTTTTAAAATGTGGTTTTCTGCATGAAATGATTGGTAGTTGAGGCTCAGCTCTGAAAACCGCGAGAAATCACTTCCTGAAAGCCGTCAATCTAAGTAAGAATCTTCTTCACGGAGGAAGACAGCGTGGAGACACACAACACCCCCCCATGTGCTCACAGTCATTAGTGAACACACTTCAGCCTGCTGCCTAGAAACTTTATTTATACAAGCCCAAAGTGATTCAGATTACAAAAACGAAACAATAGCCTACAATTTTGAAAGCCTAAAAATGACAACAAATTAAGCCAAAAATTAATAAATAAAATTCAGTAAAATAAAATAAACACCATGGATAAAAATAATGTTAAAGTGACATTCTTTTGAATCAGTACCTCTACAGTCCCCAGCATACTGCATGCATTAATATGCTTTAAAAGTATCTGTATAATAAATTATATTATTACACCAAGTGTCCTGCACTTTGTCCTCACTGAACATACATCATGTAAACCCCTAATAAAAAAGAGATCACTGAAAATAAATAGGATGTTAGCCCATCCCCACTCCCTGACATTAGACATCACCAAATGATCAGAATCCTTCTGAGATCTCACTGTATTATTATTGCCGTGTTTCCAGTTTAAACATAAAATACAGTCCTGTTACCCTGACAAATCCCTGCCACTAAAAATCTGGGACATAACACAAGTCACATGATCAACAGACAATAGCATCACCTGCATCTCCTGAAGGCCATGGGACGACCAAATGTAAGTTTTCTCACTTTCTTATTTTTTTTTATCCTAATGTAAGTATGACTAAAGAATGTAATCTCAACATACATTACCACTACCTAGAATATTTATTAGTTTGTTTTTGTTTTTCCAAAATAGTTTTGGTAAACAACCTAATGGTTCTAAGTGTTTTCAGGTTATTACCATTAATGTCATGTGGCTACACAATCAACTCATTCTCACTCCTGTGGTCATAGTTGCTTGGTCAGTGGCCCTACATGTCAAAATATGACCTGCTAGGCACCCCTCCAGACAGGGGCGTAAATATAGACAATGCAAGCTGTGCAATTGCACTGGGGCCCCTGGGGTGGAGGGGCCTGTAGAGAGAGTGGGCCCTCGCAAGTGATTCAGATTGTCACCTTGGAAATAGCTGTGTTCAAAGACAAATTATAAAAAAAAAGAGTATTGATTAAAAAAAAGTGCCATTTGCTATATACAGTACAGGCCAAAAGTTTGGACACACCTTCTCATTCAATGCGTTTTCTTTATTTTCATGACTATTTACATTGTAGATTCTCACTGAAGGCATCAAAACTATGAATGAACACATGTGGAGTTATGTACTTAACAAAAAAAGGTGAAATAACTGAAAACATGTTTTATATGCTAGTTTCTTCAAAATAGCCACCCTTTGCTCTGATTACTGCTTTGCACACTCTTGGCATTCTCTCCATGAGCTTCAAGAGGTAGTCACCTGAAATGGTTTCCACTTCACAGGTGTGCCTTATCAGGGTTAATTAGTGGAATTTCTTGCTTTATCAATGGGGTTGGGACCATCAGTTGTGTTGTGCAGAAGTCAGGTTAATACACAGCCGACAGCCCTATTGGACAACTGTTAAAATTCATATTATGGCAAGAACCAATCAGCTAACTAAAGAAAAACGAGTGGCCATCATTACTTTAAGAAATGAAGGTCAGTCAGTCCGGAAAATTGCAAAAACTTTAAATGTGTCCCCAAGTGGAGTCGCAAAAACCATCAAGCGCTGCAACGAAACTGGCACACATGAGGACCGACCCAGGAAAGGAAGACCAAGAGTCACCTCTGCTTCTGAGGATAAGTTCATCCGAGTCACCAGCCTCAGAAATGGCAAGTTAACAGCAGCTCAGATCAGAGACCAGATGAATGCCACACAGAGTTCTAGCAGCAGACCCATCTCTAGAACAACTGTTAAGAGGAGACTGCACCAATCAGGCCTTCATGGTCAAATAGCTGCTAGGAAACCACTGCTAAGGAGAGGCAACAAGCAGAAGAGATTTGTTTGGGCCAAGAAACACAAGGAATGGACATTAGACCAGTGGAAATCTGTGCTTTGGTCTGATGAGTCCAAATTTGAGATCTTTGGTTCCAACCGCCGTGTCTTTGTGAGATGCAGAAAAGGTGAACGGATGGATTCCACATGCCTGGTTCCCACTGTGAAGCATGGAGGAGGAGGTGTGATGGTGTGGGGGTGTTTTGCTGGTGACACTGTTGGGGATTTATTCAAAATTGAAGGCACACTGAACCAGCATGGCTACCACAGCATCCTGCAGCGACATGCCATCCCATCCGGTTTGCGTTTAGTTGGACCATCATTTATTTTTCAACAGGACAATGACCCCAAACACACCTCCAGGCTGTGTAAGGGCTATTTGACCAAGAAGGAGAGTGATGGAGTGCTGCGGCAGATGACCTGGCCTCCACAGTCACCGGACCTGAACCCAATCGAGATGGTTTGGGGTGAGCTGGACCGCAGAGTGAAGGCAAAGGGGCCAACAAGTGCTAAACACCTCTGGGAACTCCTTCAAGACTGTTGGAAAACCATTTCAGGTGACTACCTCTTGAAGCTCATGGAGAGAATGCCAAGAGTGTGCAAAGCAGTAATCAGAGCAAAGGGTGGCTATTTTGAAGAAACTAGAATATAAAACATGTTTTCAGTTATTTCACCTTTTTTTGTTAAGTATATAACTCCACATGTGTTCATTCATAGTTTTGATGCCTTCAGTGAGAATCTACAATGTAAATAGTCATGAAAATAAAGAAAACGCATTGAATGAGAAGGTGTGTCCAAACTTTTGGCCTGTACTGTATGTCCTCAAAATGGCAAACCTTTTAAATAGCAGCTATCTAAAACAAAATTATATACTTTATGTAAGCTGTAAAATCTATAAATATTCTATAAAAATTATTCAATTAAATAATTAATTTCTTACTTTCTTTGATATTTTTGTCAGATATGCACTGATGATTGCTCTGTAGCATGTTTGTTGATGTTGTCCAGAGTCAAGTTTTAACACGATAGCGTGCACTAGGGTCCATCGTAACTTCCTCACACCGCTACCTCCAGTTGGACACCCGGAGACGTTACATGCATTGTCTTTCCAAAATAAACTTCCGCTATGTCTTCTGTCTTAAATGCATACCGTCTCTTTTAGAATAAACTTACTACGGAGGTAAGGAGAAAAAAACAACTTTGTTTTTAGGTTTACTTCCTCAAGTTTAGGCAACAAAAGCATGTGGTTAGGTCTGGGAAAATAATTATGTTTTGGCTTAAACACACGGGACATGAACAGCACTGTCTTAGTTGACAGTCCGGAGTTGGTTTGACCCATCTACCACCCCTGTGGACTTTCTCGCTCTATGCATTAGTTGCCCTGAGCATCACAAAATGGCGCTGCTACTGCCGCTAAGTGTGCTTATGTGCAATGGTGTGTGACACAAGAGGGCCCCTGAATAAGCATTGGTATTTGACAAGTTAGGAGTGAGACCTGGTTGATAAAATGGCCTGAGATTGACCAATAAACATTTTCAGTAGTTGATGTGTGTTATTAGATCCAGTGCTGAAAAAAGATTTTAAAAAGTTAAGTTTAATTTGAAAAAGTTACTGCAAACCAAAGATTAAAACTTAAAAAACAAAGGCTGTAACATTACTCTAAATTCAAAGCCAGATTAAAATTATCCATCTTTAATTTCCTTTTAGAAAACATAAAGACTTTTCTATTCTAATATCCAGAGGCAGTGAGTTCCACAGTTAAGGGGCATAAAAACACCTCACTGGTCGTTCTATGGGACTCATGGGGAACATTTAAAAGAAGTGACCTTTGTGATCTGTCTGAAACAGTAATAGAAGGAAAATCGGATATAGGGAGGAGCAAGGTCATTTAAAGGTTTATGAATAAGTAAAGGAAAAAGACACATCAGTTTCAGTAAGGAGTTTATCAAACGTTTTATTGTGAACTCATCACACACACAACAATCTCATTTAGTCTCCAGAGTGTGCTGACTGCTCCATAGTGTTGCCATGTGTGTCCTTACTGCACTGCAGACTCCAAAAGTGCCATAACGTGTTCCTCTCCCATCAAACAACACTTGTTTCATCAAAGGGACATTATCACCGACTCAAAGTCACAATCTTTTCCGTTTCCTGGATGCGAACGATGCGTTCACTTCCACGTCGTCTTCCTCTGAATACAGGAGTTAGTGTTCAATACAGATATTAGAGAAATTCAAAGTCTTACACATCCAGGTCCTCGCGCATGAAATGGAGTGGAACTGGCCTGTGGATGAGCACAATACAGAATATAGTGCTTACTTTGGTAACACTTGACAACTCCCGATTCCTCCAGAGTGTGTTGTAAAGTGTACTATGTTGTCTCGGCTTTATCTCCCAGTTATGTTTCCACAGGACCATTTCCGTGCAAATTTGTGATACACAAAACTTCCGATAAACATTGCTCACGTCTGACTCATCAGCAAATCGACTCTGTGCTGGTTCGACTTACTGCGGGGCTCATTTTGAAAGCTAAGCCGGGATGCTTTCAGAGAAGTCAGTACAACAGTTAAAAAAACTGGACTGATTTTAACGTACTGCTCTGAAAACAACAAGATGACATCTTCCAATGAGCAGCTATTCTCATTCTCTTTACAGGAAGTCACCTCAGACATCTCAGAAACAGGATTTGTCATATGAGTTTCCATATTAAACTAACTTATATGTCCCTTTTTTTCTCAATTTTATAATATATTCTAAACATCAGATATGCAATAGATACATATTTTCAAGTTCAAAAGGAATTGACATAATACACATTTACATATCTACAAGTATGCAGATGTCACATTGACCTTGTGGTACACCAGCCCTGGTGAAAGGCATGCGGCATGTGCTAAGGCCAAAAGGTCAACAAGCCAGCGCTGGCTGACACCACACAGGCTGCTGACAAGCTCATCAAGACAATAGATATATATACACACACACAGCACTTGTACAGTTCTGCCTCTGCACGATGGACACTTAGTAGTAACGGCATCAATACATGTTTGATGTTCATTATAAAATGGTTTAAAAGTATAAAAACACATTGGATGAAGTGTGTGATATAGCATAAAAGGTTTTATTGCACAGTCTCTTTCTCTGTGTTGTACCTACAGGAGGGGGTCAACTGTTTTCACCCTCCCCACTGCGGCCCAGTAGAGTTTGATACGCTCCATTCTCTGCTGATGCCCATGTTGATGGTCTGCCTCTGTCCATGCTGTTTGCTGCCTTCAGGAAGAAAACTACAAAAGGGAGGTAAACAAAATAAACTAAATCCGTAAGTATGATTCTCATGATATGAAATGATGACGCGTTTCCTTTCTGAAACTCCAGATTCAGACGTCTCCCCTGAAATGGCTGCAGGAAACACCTCCTCTTCCTCAGCGAGTGCTGCCAGCCTCTGTCCTCGTCACACCGTGGTGGACTTTTGACTGCCGCTCTGAGGTACAGAGAGTCGCAGGGCCTCCTCATCCTCCTCCTCCTCCTCACTGTCGGTGTCTCCAAGGTTGGGGCGCAGTCTGATACGACCACCGCTCCTCTGCTGGGTGTCCTGGAGGTTCGGGACCTTGACTCCATCCTCGTCTGAAGACTGATAAGACCCATCATCCCCCACATAGTGATTGACGATGTGGATCCCATCAAAAGCGGGCTGATTGGCCAAGCCCCTCTGTGCTTTTAAGCAGCAAATCTGTGAGAATAAACGAGTATTAGCAACACAGAGACTGTTTAAAGGGGTAGTTTGGATTTTTTGAAGTGGGGTTGTATGAGGTACTTATCCATAATCAGCATTTTACTTTCAGGCTGTCAGTATACCCCCGGTTTGTACAAGCAGGGAAGCTAAGGATGGGGGGCTACAGCAAAACAAATTTTAGCCACCTAAAATAATCTTTATCAGTTTACGTGTACACTATATTGAAAATATTTTCATTGCTTTACCTTGCTGTCAGACAGCCTATTCCAACAAAGAACTGAAACCATTGTATCCATCTATGCTCTCTTCAAAGCCACCAGACTCCATTGCCAAAAACTGTGATTTTACCTCACAGAACACAGGAGGTGCTGGTCTACCGCTGCCTTGATTGATTGGTTTGTCACTCCCTCCAGAATGTTGTTATGATATTAACTGTCTTCGCCCTTCCTCTCTTTCTGTTTATGATGAGACTTGCTGCAGGAGTGTGAACTCTGCCTGGGACACATATGGTAACAGGGCTAACTGTTAGCATCACACGACTAATGTCACCTAACGATTATTACCATGTTTAAAGACAGGCTCAAGCCATTTTGGTGTTGGTGTTGGTTGTTGTTACCAACTGGGCAGAGACAGCAGGAGAAGAGCGCCTCACGGAGACAGCCCTTCAGCGCTTCTTTCAACGCTGATAGTGAGCAATCAGCTGCTGCTGACCCCACCGCCCCACAACAAATTCTGATTTTGTGAGAAACTCTGAATGCTCATAGTAATACGCTTAGAATCTAAGACAGCATCTTAACTATTTTTGCAATTCTCACTTGCCCCTCAAAGTCAATAAAAAACGCCTATAAATATTACAACATGCATCACAATTATTTAGAAAAGCTGTCCTAAAATCAGGCATCTCAAACAATCCCAAAAACAGTCCGAGAAAATCCAGAGGGATTGGTTTGTTTGTATTATTGTGTGCCTTTGGTGAATATGTATTAACGTTTTAAAAATACCAAACACAATATCACAAAAACTAACCGAAGCAGCAGTAGATCAGCAACTTCTGTGTTCTGTGAGGTGAAATTACTGTTTTTGTCAAAGGAGTCTGGTGGCTTTGAAGAGAGTGATAAAATGACTTCAGTTCCTCATCAGATAGGGCTGTCCGATGGCAAGGTAAAGCAGTTTTTTAGGTGGCTCTAATACGTCCACAGCAGTACATTGCTTAGCTTCCGTGGCGGTACTCCTGTCTGTTTCTACAAACCAGGGGCGTGCTGACTGCCTTATACTCTAGGTAATACACGTGACGTCACTAGCTATAGATAAATAACTCACTTTGAAAAATCCCAACTATCCATTTAATTCTGCATGCAAAACTGAGCCAAATACATATTCATGTCCTGAGGGAGAAAACACAGGCTGACAGATTTGACGTGTACAAACTGATTACCACAACAGGATGCACTCAGTGATATTTCAACAGGATCACTGGCACCAATCTAACATGCAGGCAGCAAACCAACTAAAAACCAAAAGGGAACAATGTAATATGATATGAGCTGTGCCCCAATTCCATATTACAAACTAACAGTATGCACTTAACAATATGTACTAATTTTCATAGTATACTGTTTCTTTAGTGAGTACACAACAGGAAATGATACAAGAAGGCCACCAAGATATGGTTTTGCAAAGATTCAGTGCTTTATATTTTTTTTTTCTTTTTTTGTCTGCTATGAGTAACGCTAGCATTTCCTTTGTATGTTTGGAGAGTCACTTTCCCAGTGTGAATGAACTCCATCTCGACCTTCAAATCAGTATGTAGCATGGATTTGGGACAAAGCCATTGTAGAATTGTTTCATGGGTGATGGTTAGCTCCATTTGGGACTGTGTGGGAGACAGTCCTGAACGCAACCTACTGAAAACTTCAGAGAAGTGACTGATGTTTATCAGAGGTGGAAGTTAACCCAACCCATTTGTCAAACCAACTAGTTAGTCTTCATCCTGTAAGTCTTTTCTCTTTTGATGAAGCACAAATCTCACCTTTATGTGGCTTGGCCAAGTACGTTTTCAAGTTAGCCTCCTTCTGTTGCTCCAGTAAGGAATGGGCTTACTGTCCTTTGTAGCAAATTGGGAAATCATGCATTGCAATTACTTTTAAACTGCAGCTGTGGTGTTTATTTATTTGTTCCATCAGCTACATAGGGAAGTGAAGAGATTCTAACTGCACTCAAACAACAAACTTTGACAAACCACACAAAGGCGTTTTGGTTTTGAGAATGCTAAGACAAAGGGTGAGGAGTAAGTGGTTGGTTTGACCAATGTATGCCAGGTTGCCTTCACCATCTCTAATTTAAAGTAGCACATCAGTTCTTTAAAGTTCTCTATGGAAGCATCCAAAATAAATGTTGGCACTGTGTGTTCTGCAAAACCCCAGATATGTCACATTTGTACATTATTATACAGTAGATATGTTGAAACTTCATGTTTCTTTCCTTTTCAGCAATGCTGTGGTTAGCGTCTGGTTCTGTTTAGGCACAAAAAACAATTGTTTAAAGGTCCAGTATGTAAAATTAAGGGGTTTTGATGGCATCTAGCAGTGAGGACTGCAAATTTCAACCAGCTGAAACCTCTCCGGGTTAGAATTCCTTGAGTATTGAATGCTCAGGTGGTTTTTACTGGAGCTGAAATATCAGCAGATGTCTCTTCCTCTCCAAAATAAACAGATAAGGTGAATAAATTGGTAAAAACAATGAATAAAACCATGCTGTTTGGCATGTGGCACACAGGCGGCTAACCTTCTGCCTGTGTGCTCACCCTTTTCTCTGATAACTTAAGATCCAGTTTTAAAAAAAATGGTGTTTTTCTAAAGCAGCACTTTGAAGAGGAGCTGCTAAATATGGTGGCAGACGCGAAAATGCCAATGTCCCTATCTAGAGCCAGTGCTTGGTTTGTCCATTCTGGGCAACAGAATTAACAAACAGCTGTTGTTTTTAGTTGATTATACAGTAAACATACTTATTACAATTCATTTCTGCCAATATATAGCCCCCTTAATCCTATAACTGGACCTTCAAGTTTATAAAAACATGTATTTGCTTAAAATATTCAGTGTTGGTGCCACAATGGTGGTTGGAAATGCTGATGACGACTCACTAAAAATATGGTTTTGTGGTTTGTTCTCAAACCGTGGTCTGCTGCTTGGTAGCTGTCTTGCCTAGGTGTCACGTCAATCACTATTTCCTCCTCTTCCTGATGACAAGTTCAGCTCATATATGCAATCACAACTACGTCACTTGAAAAACGTTGATCTACTTGTGAAACGTGCAGATGTAACATATCCTTGGTTTGCATTAATGTAAAATGCCAACTTTTTTTCTTCTGGAGACTGGGCTGTGAATTTAAAAGACCCAAGTGGGGCTAGGTTTGGGGCTGCACGGTGGTCAGGTTTAAACCACAGGGGGTTACATGACACATCTGTACCAACTCACCTGAGTCAGCCTGCCATGCAGCAGACAGACATGTAGGAAGAGACGCATTAAGAATCCAGTTCATAGCACAATACACAACTAACAAATATAAGCCTACGTTTACATGTACCTGTCTAAATTTGGAGTTCTGCCTTCCTGTTGTTGACATGCAAAAAAGGAAATTGTCATCTGACTGGCTGCAGTCAAAATTTCCAGCAATATAAATGCAGGCATTAACTCAAACTGTGAGGGAGGAGGAGGAGGAGGATGATGGTGGACTGGAGCCACTCTTTGCTTTCAGGTTTGCTCATAGCAGACACTTGTCTTAGCATGACTCATAGCAGGCCACTTTTAACCTAAGATGACCACAAGACAAAACCAAGTGAGAGGAGAAATGACTCCGTGAATGTATTGCTTTGATATAAACTGGAGTCAGAAGAAACTAATGCATTCAGATCAATTTAACCAGCTGCACTGGTCAACTTGTTGCAATTACCTGTTGCGATTCAGTTACGGCCACAGATGTCAAAATATGCTATTCATCCTGTCAATAACTGATCTGCTGGAAATCAACAAGAACCTCTATCTGCAGTTACAGCTATACAGTCATCAAAATATGTTTCTGAAAACATCCGAGGCGAGAAATAGGCAATGCAGTAACATAATCTTGATTCGTATTTCTTCAGCGCTGCCAAGTTTGACAGTAGCTTGCAAGCCGTGATTGACAGCTGATACAAGTCCGGCACTCTATTCACTCGGTGAGCTTCAGCGCCGCATTTCAAAGCGCTATTCATTTAGATTTGGTGAAACTTTAATGTTTAGTGATGTAAATGTCTTGCCTTAAATTCTTATTTTCTGTAGCTGACAGGCAACCGACTTAGCCACATTAACGTGTGAAAACCTTTTGCCCACTGCCCACCTTCCAGTCTCCATTGGTTAGCTAGCCTTAGCCGCTCTGCACTGTGCACCACCCAGGTCTGGTGGGAGCTGGCTAGCGGCACCACTGGTAATGCTGTACTGGGACTGCTGCAGAAACGGAATGCCCAACCTCTGGACGCCCTGGTGAGTAAGTGGCTTCATTTTAAGCTGCAAAAGCCCTTTAGTATGCTTAACTATGTTATCACATTTGGCCGTACTGACACTGCTAATGGGGCAATAGAGTTAATATTGCATTCGCATGGAATCAGCGAGACGGTAGACGGCAAACCAGATATCATTTTAGTGGATGAGAGCAGGGCCATAAAATTAGGTGAGGTTGGTGGAGAATACAGGCAACAGTAACAGTAGACGGCATTGCTGTTCGAAGTTAAAAAAAAAAATGTAACTTTTTGCCAACCTCCGCGACAAAATTAACTGAAAGCTACCAATATGTGTCAAGACTATGTTACTGTATTGCCTTCTTCTCACCTGGCTGTAATAGCGAGAGTTTGTGAACAGGAAGTGGGCGCCATACTGTTTCCTGCACTGTGAAAATGGTGGCCGGCATAATTGATGTCAAATGGTAAAACGAGGCAGCGCTGAGCGAATATAAACCAAGATTCTGTTACTGCGTTGTCTATTTCCCTCTTCAGAAACATGTTTTAGCGTACTGTTTACCTGTAATACATGATGGTTTTGTTCCAGCTGGCGTCCATTTTTTAAAACTGACACATTTACATGTGCATTCTGGTAGTTGTAGGTTTTCTCCCTCTTGAGCAAAAGCATCCTTTTCCTCTGTTTTCTCTGGTTCTGTAGCACCAATTTCAAAAGTATTTGCATTTTTCTACTGCATACACACTCTAGTTTTAAAAGGCCATCTTTCCCACTGTGAGATATTTCTTTATGAAGAGACAACTTCTCTGAATGAATGAAATTTTTGAGATCTAAATGTATAGTGTTATCTATCTTGGCTCTACTCTGTGATCTGCTCGTAAAAACATCTATAGGTTATGTCTGCAGGAGGTGTGCAACGTCAACTCTGCACAGGAAGTCTCTGGGTGTAGTTAACACTTGTACTAATCTGTTGGCTTCAAAGAAAAACCATATCTGAGGGAATGTTGTAAAATCTTCTGAAACTCCAGATCAAAGAAATAGCAAAAGCAAAATCTGAGTCTCTACCAGGAAAAAAAAAAAAAAAGGTAGTGTGATTACTAATGGACGTGATGCTTGTTTTCAAGTCTCACCTCCTGTTTGAGTTCCTTTATCTGGTCTTTGAGGTCGCTGATGTACTGGCTTGAGTCTGTGTGGTTCAGCTGGCCCTGGACCTTTCCTTCTTCCTTCTGTAAGTACAAGAAACACGAGTTAAAAACAAGCAACAGTGATACACATGGCTTTCGTAAATATTGAGGGAGGGGGAGAAATATTTTTAGCAAGTGTACACAGCCTACATGTAAAAACACTAAAATACCAAGGGATTAACTGTTTTGAACTACTGTACAAGCAGGACAAAAACTGGCGGATTCTATGAGCCCCACTTCTAAAAAAGCATCACAAAGTGACAGATGTCAGGGGGAAACAAAAAACAGTGTCATTTGTGCTCGATTTCCTTTCGGGGCCCTGGGGATGAGGCTGGTTGTTGGCTCTAACAGTTAAACAGCCCATGTGATGTTTACCTTCCTCAGTGAAGACATCTGCAGGCATTGGAGACAAACACATACTCTATTTCAAACCTCAATCACACCCTGCCAGTTTTATACAGTGAAGGGCGCACAGAGGAACACTGAGACAAAAAAGGGAAGACGTATACACTCGCACGCAACAGGGGTGGGGTGTCGAGGTAGAGTGTTGAGAGTGAGTCTTCTCTGGCTGGCCAACGCCCCAAAAAAAGGGATGGGGTTTTTGATTCCTGTGGTAAGGTGGGGTTGATTATGGTGGTGAGATTATTCCAAGAGTCTCTTGTTTTTGAGGTTTTGCCACTCCAAAACACCACAGCGATAACGGGCAGGCCGTTAATGAGACTTCCTTGTGTTCAGCTGTGTGAATCAACAGATGTCAGGTGGCCTCACAGAAGTGTCTTCCTCAGGAACCCTTAAAGTCTGTTGAACTTTGTTTAGATCTTACAGAAGAGGAAAAGGAGGAAAGGGAAGGGGGCTTTCTCTCTGAAAAAGTCAGCTATGTAGGATGATATGAAAACTATGATATTTAAAAACAAAATGCTGATATCATTTCTAATACTCATGATAATATCATGTGATAATCCAGCGCCCCTTAAATCATTTAAGTTTCTTTACGTTCTTACTTTGTCTCCTTCCCCAAACTCCATCTGGTTTCCCTTTCATTATTTCTTAGGTGTAATTTCGCTTTTTGTGCAAGTTGATGGCAGGACTGTAAGATAGTTTGTAGACATTCACCAAGTAGGATCTACGCAGGCAGAATGTGTTGGTAAACAAGCTAACAAGACATTTCCTGCTAGGTAGCAGACATGGCCACAGCAAAGAAAGCGTTAAGTCAACAGCGAGGGCCACTGTTTTGAGGAGTGGTGAAACGGTTGAATTTGTTTTATTTGTATGAATTCATTTTAATAATGCGAGAAGCAGGTATTTTCACATTATCTAATCTGGCCTCCATTCAAAAAACTTTAGACATTCCTGATGAATAACAAAGAAAAGCATCAAATTCTTAGATTTAACAGGCATGAAACCAGAAACTTTTGGGCTTTTGCGCTTTCAAAAAATTGCCAAAACACTTGTTCGATTATCAGAATAGTTGCCGTTTCATTTTTCTTTTAAACCACTGATTGATTAATCAACTAATCCTTGCAGCTGTGCAGCACAATCACAGTATTTTTAAACTTCCTGTGCATCTCTGCTGCTGTCGCAATGGCAAGTAGCTTATTCTGAATCTGCAAAGGCGTCTGTGAGGGATGTGAGCATTTATGATTAAAGTTTCATTTTTACTGTCAATCTATTAATTAGCTGCCCTTCAGTAAAGAACAGATATGATTTGTATAAAAGGGCCATGGTCACATTTTTAACTGTCATACAGATGTGTGCTATTAGAGTTTGCTTTTTCAGCACCTGTGAGATTAATGATACAGTTTCCTCATTACTTAGCAAACAGAGTAAACGTGAGAGACGAGAAGTGCTTTGCAGGCTAAAACATTTAGTATAAATCTCTGAGCATGTCATAGAAACCTCAAAATAAACCATGCATGTCACCTTTGGTAGAGTCTTTGCTTCAAAATGAGAAACCACTTCCTATCAGCCCAGAGACAGTGGAGCTGTGGCGCTGAGCCGAGGCCATGACTGTGATAGTGAAAGAGTCTTACACAGAAACCTTTCTAGATATCTTAGTTTCAGTCACAATGTTTTCCATCATTACTCAGTGGTTATTATCATCCATTTGTATCTCTTCATTAAATCTCTGCAGGATCATACGTGTTGTTACTGAAGGAAAAGATAAGAACCTTAATGTTCAGAGTGACTTCATTGGTATCTTCTGCTGCTCTGACTTCTACACTCAGGATTTAGACACAGATTGAGCTAATCTGATCAAATGGTGACCTCTCACATCATAAAGCAAGCTGCAAATCATCACCACCAACATGCGTCACACTGTCTCTGATGAGTAAAGCAAGAAACTGATTTCTTTTTTCCAACTAATTCTTGTAATTGAAGTAGTTTTCACCCACAACTTAAAGAGCAAGTAACCAAACCACAGACCAACAAGAAGCCAGCGGTGGTGGCATTATTTCAGCTTCGACACCAGTTAGATTCAACATCCTGCTCCTGAGGGAAAATAAAAATAAATCAAACTAAAGCACCCTCTGCAAAGTACTTTCAATCTCATCATAATATAAAAGGAAAATGAAGTGTTAATGAGGTGTAAGGGTTCTTCTGCACGTTGTTGGGAGTTCATTATGCAGATTCTGAAAAGTATGAGGGCGGTAGTGGTAAATTTTGGTGTTGCGTGTTTTTGCTCTATCACTTAGTAACAAAACCTCAGACCACACGGTGTGATTGTGTGTGCGCCTCTGAAAGGGAAGAGGGGGAGGGTTGTTTGTTTTTTTTTTGTTGTTGTTGTCAGATACTTAAAAATAGTCAAAGTCTCCAGGTTAGACTCTCTAAAACACCTTCAAGTCAGGAATAAAATTACAGCGGTACTTTTCAAAGCCCACTTCACTAAAAGTCATAACTGTAACAAAGCTTTTGGTTTGAGCAGCTGATATTTACTAAGTAACACTTAACTTCAACCTCTCCATTAAGCAGCCCTGTCATTTCTGCAAACCATCAATTTTGTTACATTTGCATGTTTCATATGTATCATATCAACCTTTCTAAAGTGACACAGTATGTGAGCTGACTTTGTCATCATGAGGTGGAAGAAATGGTGGATGTCATAACACCTACGCCTGCCAAGCTGCAGATCACTGTTGAAGACAAACAAACAACAAAAACGGTTGTTTTCAAAGCGAGTCATTGCTGTTTACTGCGGCTTTTTAGCCCCCAATGTGGTTGTTTTTTAGGGACCTGTTGCTGTGTGACCTGTCGGCATCAGTGCTGTGAAAAGCGGTTGTTTTTTACTTTGGGATTATGCCCCCAAAGCCACAATCTTTTTCAAACCATAACCAAGTGGTTTTTGTGCCCAGTTTCAACGTATCTGCGTACATATGTTTAGATTTTTTGAACATGTTAAAAAATAAATATTTAAAAAATTATATACATCATAAAATCAATAAAAATATCTTTAAAATGACAAAGCTTCAAATAGTGGACTTCCATTAGCAAAGATTCAGTTTGGGTAACCACAACACAATAACATTATCTTCCTGTTGCTGCGCTGCTTTACTCATTTGAAGAGTGTGTTGTTCTGAGTGTTGAGCCCACAAACAAGCTTCAAGCTATTGCTGATTGTTTTTCTAGATCGTTTTATCTGTTATCAATCAGAACTGCTGAGTGCTCGCAGTGTGGGAACAGGCCTGTATTTGTTTTAGTCACTCTTGTGTGTAGCGTTACATTTGTTGGGGGATAAATACTGGTGGATTCACTGGTTCATGTCAGGAGTACGTTCATGTGTGTGTGAGTCTGCTCAACTTCAAATGTCACAACAGTGTGTGAAGTAAGCTGTGTTTACACCTTGAACTATTAAAAACTAAACGAATCTGTCCTCAACCCTCTGTATCCGACAATCTCATGATTTGCTGTTCACCATACATATCTAACTGCCTGAAAGTACCTGAAATTTTAACCCGTTCATGACTGAGTGAGCAACAGTCAGAAATAACTCAACTAATCTGCGTCATCTGGACTGTGTAGGTGGAGTTTGATCAGATTTGATTGACACTGATATTTCCATAGCAACATCAGCAAACAACACATCAACTGCTATCAGATTCAGAACCAGTGAGAAGAGCTCGGACTGAGCCACAAATACAGAAATCTGTCTGGTGAAACAACCACTGTGGCTCTAACTTAGATAACAGTATGTTAGGAGCCCATCACCAAGACAATAACTGGGAGCTGACCAACAAAACGACCTCCATCAATGAAAATGAGAACATAACTCAGCTTTGTCATCACACACATTCCTGGATGGGACATTCCTCTCTCTGTGCGAGGGAAATTTGAATATGTTAAATGTGGTTTGTGTAGGAAATCCAAAGCTAGATGCGGAGGTAGGAGTGTGATGTTACAGGAGTGTGTTGGGACTTTACCTGAATCTCAAGCTCTGAGATCTGCTGCTGGAGTTCAGCCATAGCAGCAATGTTGTCGGCCTCCCGCAGCCTCACTGCCATCACCTCTTCTTTACTCTGCAGAAAAACAAAAGACACAAAAGATAGTTTACCAACACATCGAGGACGCCCGGCGCTGAATGGCCAGTATAAAAACATGTTTTGTACAACATCTGAGTATTTTCTATTTGTGTATGTGTGAATCTTGTGGCGGGGAATTCCTAAGAGACAGGGAGTGTTGCTGCGCTACAGATAACAGTTAAACTGATATGTAGCAGCGTCAATTTCTTCTCTTATCCTTAATTGTTAAATTTTTTAATGCAAGTTATTTTTAATTTATGAATTTATTATTTTATTTATTTTTTAAATTATTTTATTTATGTATTTCATTAAATAGACTTACATTTTCACTATTTTTTATTTCTATATTATTACTATTTATTTACTTACATTTTACATTTTCACTATTTTCAAATGTTTTATTCCCATTTTATTTCTATATTATTATTATTACTACTACTACTACTATTTATTTATCTTTAACTCATTTTATTTACTAAAAAAATTTGTTTTTAATTTCTATTATTACTGTTATTTATTCATTCATTCAATTTTACTTACATTTTCACTTTAATTTCTATTATTATTATTATTATTATTTAATTAAGTCTTTTTACTTAATCTCTCCATGTGTATGTATGCATGTATGTATACTGTATACTGGAAATGGGCATTGACTCTTAGACACCGACTTACTGATTAATGTATGCCCTGAAAATAAATACAGAAAAGAAAGAAGAAAGAAATCTAGCGACATTTGCAGACTTGTCAGAATAAAATACTACTAGACAAAACTGATTATACATCTTATAGCTAAATAAAGCTCAAGAGAAAAACACAACTTGAATTTATTTTTCTATGCAAAAACTAAAAAAATCTATTTGTTGTCCAATATTACACATTAACACAAACTTTAAATGTTTTAATTTATTCAGATTATGTCACAACAGAGCTGTCGCAGGCGGTTTGTCCCTGGGCACAAAGTGCTGAGTGTTGCAGATTGTCAACAGAGTCGTACCTTGCATTCAATCTCAGCTTGTCTCCGCTTGATCTCTTGCAGTTGCACATGCAGGTCTTTATTTTGCAGCGTCAGTGTTTGCACACACTCCTGAAGACAGCGACTCTCCTGTTCCGCCCGTCGCAGCTGGTTACTGTGAATCTGATTCTGTGTGGGCACAGATTGTACAAAAAAATAAAAAATAAAATAAAATAATCTATATTATTATTATTATTATATAAAAATGTAAAAAAAAATGATGAGAACAGTCAGTCCTTTGGAAACAGATGACTGCTGCCCTCTGAAGGAAACAAGGTGACAATGCAGGCAGAGAATTCATTTACTATTAATTAAATGAACTGTAGATCCACCTTACTGACTGAGGTGTCCATGCTGCTGTACACCTTTTATTTCTCATGTTTAATTATAAGGACAGATATGATGTTACATCTGACCTGTGTCTCCAGCTCCAGCATCCTCTGCCGTGTCTCTCGCAGCTCTGCCTGTGCCTCGGCCTCACGCAGCCTCACGCTCATCAGCTCGTCCTGCAGCTCGCTCACAGTGTTTTTCCTGGGGCTGTCCTTCCAGCGACCAGCAGTGCGTGCCAAGTGACGCTATCAAATGAATCACATGACATTACAACATTTCTATTTCATAGACATTTTGCACTTTGAAAAAAATGTCTGAAAGAGATAATGTATAGACATGATGTTGACATGTGTGTGCTCACCTGCCAGTGCTCCTCCAGGTCTCTGACCTGCTGTCTCAACTCTTTCAGGCCGGTCAGAGCCTCTGCCTCTCTCAGCTTCACCCCTATCAGCTCCTCTTGAAGACGTGCCACGTTGGTGTCATCTGGCAGCGATGTGTTCCTCTAATGAAGGTGTGTAAGAAACACATGTTATAAGAGGTGCACCAATGATCAGCCGGTGACAGGAATCGGCCAATGTCCGGTAGATTAGTCTCAGATAATAGCCGAGATGGTTAACAATGGTAACAGAGTGCAACTTTTTTTCACTTTTTCCATAAATATATCAGCCTGTGGTAAATACGGATGATACCCTGAGCTTTACATCTGTCCTACGGATAATATTTTAGGCCCAAATACACACTAAAGAAACAACACCTAGAAGAAGATCCGCTCTGCGCCCTGATTTCTGCTAAGTAGGCTGTGGTGCAGTGCTGTTTTTGGTCACTTAGCAACCTCAGATGCAACCTGCCTCTGTACTTTTTGAGGTTGGCACACAGTAGGCACAAGAGTAGTACCGAGTCTCTCCTTTCCTTTCTCTGTCTTGTGCCGTGCACACAGTGTGTGGCAGGCAGAAGAGAGGAGGTGCTGCAGCAGTGAGAGCGAATATATACAACCTACTGTACACACACGTATATTCTTGTTTATAGATACTGAATCTTAAATAGTTTTGTACAATTAAATAGATAAATTGTTTTAGATAGATATAAGTTGACTCTGATAGACCTGCATACACAGTGTGAAGAATATTTTCTTTGATTCTTCTCTGATATGTAAATAAGTGTAACAAGTCAGGGCCTGATCATCCCCTGTTGGGTCGTCTGGGTGAGGGTGTCTGATGTTAAGACCCGAAAAACCCAATGATTCATCACTGACAATGTGTCCAGGTTGCAATGCGAGGTATATAACATGACTACAGTAATATAACCAGGTCATATAATCTATCTGGTACATTATGTCTGAGGCAACGCACCTTTTCCATATCCAGGATCTTGTCTTGCATCTCCTTGAGAGCACACTGAGACTCCGCCTCCTTCAGCCTGGCCTGCACGAGCTCTCTCTCCAGCTGCAGGACGGACTCCTCAGAGTACCGAGGGGCTCCCTTCTACAACAGGACACGTGTGTGAGTACAGACGGCAACAAAGAGCTACAAAGTTGAGGCCTGTGTGTCTATGATTTTCAAAATACTCAAACTCCAATAATGTAAACCAGGATCCCAATATAATTCCAGTCCATCTAATATGCTCTGCTCTGTTCTCAGTCTTGTGCACAAACAAAAAAACACCTCAATGCCTCTTCACTCTCCATTACAAAGAATTCAACCTTAATTGCAGCGGACACCATCCATTTTGCCTTTTCACTTTCACATAAATAATTCATGAGAAGCACGACAGCAAATTATGTAAAACATTGTAATGCCTGCACATTATCATCTGCAATCCAACCATCAATAATTAAGGATGTTAGGTCAATAGATGTGCAACGAGAGGATTCTGTGAACAGGGTGCCACGTGTGAAATCGACCAGCCTGTGAGACAACTGCTTACAAATTCATGAATACATTTCTGAGGACGCAGGAGCCTGTAAATGGCGGCTGAACTGTGTCGTACTGCGTGTCCCAATTTGAATTCATGCATGCTGAATCAGATCATTACCCAAAGCTGGTGTGCAAAGTGAGAAAAGCAACGCTCTGCTGCTACTTCTGTTGCTAGGCAATACGTGTTGACAAGGCAGGAGGGGTGACACACTTGAACTTTAGTGAAACACATTTTTACTGGCCCAGGTTTCATCTTAACACACCATGTGGTCTTGAAATGGTAAGTCTGAGGTTTCGGTGGGAAACATCCTTGTGTCAACATCACAGCTCCTGTCACAGGATCTGTGCCGGTGCAACCTGCCAGCTGGGGACTCTGTGGCCCTCCTTACCGCATGCGGCTGCTGCTGCTGCTGGAGCTGCCTGATGGTTGTCTTGGCCTGCTCCAGCTGAGCACTGGCCTCCTCGCTCTGCTGTTTGACTGTGGCCAGCTCCCGCTTGACCAGGTAGTTCTCCTCTGCCTCCTGAGCTCGAGTGACTTGTCCCTTGGGACATAAACCAACCGAGGAGGGGTGGCGTGAGCACGACAAGAAGTGGGACGAGAGGGCGTGATGGGTAGGCAAATCATAAGAGAGGGTGGGTTTTCTAAGGACATGCTTAACTCTGTGATTTATATTCTAATTCCTTTGCTTTCTTCAGAATGATTTTTGATTCTGTCACTTTGTCTAACATGCAATAATGTGCTATTTCATGCACTTATTCAACAATTTTACCAGCTACCATAATCATTACTGTCCTTCACTGTGCTAATCATAAGCATGCAATGCTACAGAGAGAGAAGGAAAAAAGAAGGTTCAACTTGTGTAAAAGGGGTAAAGAGAAAATGAGGAGTATACCTGGATCAATCTATCTGCCAAGGAAGCACTTTCCTACAAAACAGAAATATCGACAAGAGACAGCAGAGAGAGAGACACAATCCAGAGGACAGTTAAAAGCACACAAAAAGAACAATTGATTGTTTAAGAAAAGAAATGCAATGTTCATTTCCCATCCAGAGATATATTTGTTTACAGGCTGCAGAATCATGTTTATATTCAGGGCTAGAAAAGGAACATTGCATGCAAGTGTGGTGAAAGAGGTGCAAATATGCACACACATAGATGCTGGTGACAAAGTGAAAAATGAGGTGGTGCTGATAACAGTGACAGGTTTCAGACAGGAAGAAGAAGGACAGGACAGGCTCTAGAAGTAGCAGAGGGTGAAGTGTAGAACAACAGTGTTAAGGAGCTGCGTGTTGTTTTAACTGAACAGGAGCTCTGGGCTTTCATGTGGTTAATCTAAGCTCTTGAACAGTTTCGGTTAGTGAAGAGTTAAAAGGTCCTGGGAGTGATGTGACAGAGCAGCAGCCTCGAGCTGGTTCGAAGTAACGGACTCATTCAGACCACAGTGATCGTCCCTGCAGGCAGACGCGCCATAGCCCTCTCTACCCGTGGCAGACCTCATGCATGGCGCCACGAAAAGGTGCAGAATGATACAACAATGCTTTGTATCGACTTGAACAGCATCAAGCAGCCACTTTCACATTCCACACAGGCTCGTTACAGTCTCTGCTTCAGTTAGTGTCTGTTATTGGAGCCACGCAGACAGTCACCATGACACCAAGGCAACGTCAAGTCCAAAATCTGCCTTCTTTATCTGACTGGAACTTGAGCCATACTGTACCAGCCAACCAGTGATGGTTTATCATGTAGATGGACTTTCAACTAACAGAGCCCAGTTAGTGAAAGACAAGACTCCTTCATAAAAGGGATAGTTCAGATCTTTGGAAGTGGGATTGGAGAAGCAGTCGGAAGCACCACCACGAAAGCTAAGAAATGTTCTGCTGTGGACGGGGCAGCAGCAAAATGTATTTTAGCCACCTAAAAAAAGCAAAATCAGTTTAAGTGAATGCAATATTGAGGACATTTTGATCGCTGACAGAGAAGCTGTTAGTGCAGGACTCTCGACGTAAATTGGTCTAACGTTGGGAAAATACACATCGGCAGGTCTGCGTTCTCCAAGTCTGGTGTACAAAATGTCTGTGTCGTCAGTGCGCTGCATTTTTATAAATTATGATCATCTGGTCGCATATCTCGCTGCGTCCAGGTTCTGTCTCACCCCCTCTTCCTCTCCTTGCAGTTCTCGTACTCTTACAACTGAAGCTGCAACAAGTAAGTACTACTAGGCTACTATCAGCAGAATACTACCATAAAAAAATGCTGGGTGTTTTTGCAACTTGAATTTACAACTTAACTTAGTCGAACTTAACTAATATCTTCTCTTTTAAGTTCGACTCAGCGACTCTCACTTACCGAAGCAGCAGCTTCTGTCTCTTAGTTTCACTCCTCCTGGACTTTTGTCAAGAGCATACACTCTAAAACACTGTTACTAATAAATTGCGAAGCTGAGCAAGAGCAGTGTGCAGGATTTTCTGTTCAAAGACTCTAGTAATATTTTCCAATGCACCTGCATCTGAGATAGCTGGATGTGTGAATACCTTTCTTCAAACTATTTTCACACTATAAAATATTTAAAAAGAAGATAAAAACAACTCATGTGCCGGTACGACCACCTGAGGAACTTAGCAGCACTAGTGCTACCAGTGGGGAATGTTAATCAAGAGCCCTGTGTTAACTGCTTCAGTTTCCCCATTTAGGCTCTCGTCAAAGCCACCAGGCTCCACTGATGAAAACATTAATTTAAGCTGAACACAGAAGCTGCTGGACTACTGCTGCCTTTATTAGTTCCTTTGTTTGTGTTGTTGTGTGACTTTGGTGAATCTGAACTAACCCTTTAAATACTTAAAAAACAAACTAACTGATCAAGGCAGCAGTAGACCAGCAACTCCATGTCCTGTGAGGTCAAATTACTGTTTTTGTTAGTGGAGTAAAGCTTTGAAAAAAGCTTAAATGCCCTGTCAGCAAGGTTTGTCTGAGGTGAAGTGGTGAAACCATTCTTAATACGCATACACTGATACACTGATATTGATATTTTTAGGTGGCTTACATGTTTTGCTGCTGTGCCCGTCCACAGCAGTTCATTGCTTAGCTTCGGTGGCGGATGCCCATCCATCATCTACTATAACACACTGACTGTAGATAAGTACCACTTCAAAAGATCCAAACTACCCTTTTAAGAAGAGATTCATGATGTGTGAGCATACACAGCTGGATGAGTTAATGTAATGTTGATGATGGTTAGTGTGGTGACGGTGCACCTGTGACAAACACTGCTGCACTCACTTTCTCTAGTGTGTCTATCCTCTGCTTCAGGAGCCTGTTCTCTGTGCGCAGCCGCTGCAGACAAGAAATTACAAAAAAAATCCACATGAAACAAAATAGTGGAGCCTTCAGAACATTTCTTTAAAAAATCTCCACACACCTTTATTTCCACCTGCTCCTCCATCTCTTTAGTTTTGATTGTAGTGTAATCTTTTTCTAACCTGAAACCAATTCACAGGCAGTCAGTAAAGACAAGAATATTAATGGAACATAGGAATAGAAAACATAACATTTTTTAGTGTGAAATGGGGTAATGAAAAAGCAGTAGCAATAAAACAAGGCAAGAAAAAGTTATGAAATCTGAAAAAATCCAGATCATTTTGCAAAACATCCTTGGGAAAAAGATTTGGTACAAATTACATGTCCAATTGTAACCTTGAGAGGCTTGCAAAAATGTAAATACATAAATGTGAAGAAAGTTTCTCGTAATATTTTCTTGTGTAAAAATAAATGCACAAGCAAGATGAGAGGTTGGTATGTGTGGATGAACTGAGAGTTGTGCTTACTTTTTCATCTTCTTGGCTTTGTATTTAACTTGATAAGCAGCTTGGATGACCTTATCTGGTCCACTGTCGAGCTGGTGTGGGATGACCTTCTGAAAGTGCTGCAGCACAGTGAGGAAACAAAGCCGGAGTTAAGTGCCACACACCCAGAAACCAGCTACTTTCAAACAACTATGCAACCTGATTTCTTTGTCAGGCATTCCTCTGACCTCACAGCACTACATCAAACGTCAGTACTACACAGGTACGGGCTGGGAGGACACACTTATCAATTATCTGGGTGTGGTGGAGGTTCCTCCCTTGAGTGTGCTGCACAGTTTAGACCAGAAATCTGACCTGTTTGAACGACAAGTTATGTGTAGGTCATGGTGATTTACCTGTAACATTCCCTCCATGTCAAGCTGGATGAGTTCGGTCTGGTTCATCTGAAGGATGGCCAGTCCCACACGGAAAACTATCTCCAGACCCTGGAGAAAGAAATCAGCAATAATCGCTGAGGAGTCTTTTAAAGGAATGAAATGTTCAGTGTGCAGTGAAATCTCTTCTAAAGTGGACTGAGAATTTGTTACAACAGGTCACAAGAGAGAGATGAAACTTTTCACAATAATTATTAACCCTGGACTGTAGTGTTTTGTTTTCTCCAACAGGTGGTGCTAATGGATAACCTTTTCATAATAGTCAACTTAAAATAATCTTTAACTGTAGTCATTCACAAGGCAGTAACCTTACATCTTCTTAAAGTGGAAACACTTGACTTTAGTGCAGTGATTTACTGTTCCTTTTTTAGATTTCACATCTGCATTTTAAATGTGTCTGAGGCTAAACTATTAAATGTTGACTGTAATGTTTTAGCCACAGTGACAGTGAGTGCAACAGCAGAATAATCACAGACAAGCCAAAGTAAAAAACGTATGTACTGATATATGTATTGATAGATATTTCTGACAACGCAGCAAGAGTCAAAGCAAACAAACAACAGTTAATCTACATTTTGCTAACAGCTAATAAAAGATGGATAAATGAATGAAATAAGATCAGATGTTCATGGCAATTAAGATCTCATAAATTAAAATTTAAGACTATTTAATGACTATTTAAGGCCTAATATTTATAACATTTAAGACATTTTTAATGATCGACGATCAATTAATTGACTAGTCGTTGCAGCTCAAATACAAATTCTTTACAGATTGACACATTTCAGTAGATATGATATCTCCCTTTAACTGACCTCACACATGAAGATGTCAAAGATCCTCGTGGCGACAGGCAGAGGGAAGGAGGTGAGGAAGATGGTGAGGAACCAGGAGGAGGCATACATGGAAGTGTGAAAGCTCTGAGCCTGGAAATGCATGTGCAGCTCTGGGAGGTGCTCCTGCAGAGGCAAACATTAAACAGATTCACACTATTACCACATGACTACATGTTGACAAACTGTCATCACCCCGTGATGCAGCAGGTTTAAGACCAAGTATGACGCGTCTACCTGGATCATGGACTCAAACTGGTACATGCAGAGTCCCAGCTCAGCCATACTGGGTTTGAAGAGCTCTCGTAATCTGTAGTCTTGCATCAACTTCACAAACACACAGAAAGCCTCCTCTTCTGGCATCTACAAAATAACAGGATGAAATCAAACCTCAAATATTCACTAAAACATATCAAACTGTTTGCTGGAAGCTGGTGAATTAGTGTGTCTGTGTGCACAGGTGGTGGAATTTTGATTATTACCTGCATGAGGAGCAGTCCAACAATGAACGCACTCCCTTGACAATAGCCAACCTCCCGGTCAACCAGAGAGTATGCCTGAGGTGACAGAAAAGTTTTGGGTGAGTCTCAGTGGTGGCTGCACACACTTCATCATGGATTTACTCTACTCACAGTTTTTATCCAGAGACTACTGTTAAAGCCAAACACCTCTTTTTGTTTTATGTACACAGGATTATCAGCTGATCTGTATGCACTCAGGTTCCTCAAACACTAATGGAGACTTGCCTTCATGACATTGAAGAGCACTTCCTGGCCCAAGCTGTCTTTCTCCTTGAAGAATTCGTGTTCGGGATAAGTGCGGGCGATGTCTCTGCGAATCAGCTTCTCGCAGGGCGACGTCATCTTCAGGAGTTCCGAGTACTGATCCTTGATTGGCATATTCTGGGCTTTACACAACAGCTGCCACACGATTGCCCGAAAGTGGTGAGGAATCCCTTTTCTGACGAGATCCTGTGAAAAAAGAAAAGATGCTTCGTGAAATTGATGTTAATCTTGCTGTATTTTAAAGACATTAATGAGGAATTTAAACAGGCATCTTCGTTCCTTTTTTTAACATGGACAACAGCGTAAGAGAGTAAAGGTCTTTTCACATCAAACATGAATATTTGGTGCTAATAAATCTACCAAGTCGTCAAACAATTCAAGCCCATCTATCCCTGTGTCTATACACACAGAATCTGAAACTTTGTTTTTGCGACTTCTGCAAATCCCAGATGCAGATAAAAACAAGCCAATTAATAAAGTAAAGACATTTGCTCACGCGATCAGTGAATTCAGAAGTCAGTGTCATAATTTTCTTCAAAATAGTGTCCTCTTTGACAAATAAAGGAACGATTATAAAGACAAGAATATAATATGAGGAAGTGAAGCACTTAATTTTCAGTGGAACGCAGAGAATGCAAATATTGCACCGTCAGACTTTTAAATGAGTATTCCATATTTTTGTTTCATGTGTGGTGTGAAAATGCCTTTAAAAAAACACTTTGCTTTCCTGTGGATAAAAAGAACAGACACTTGCATTTCTTCCAAAAGGATGCAGCTCCAGGCATGCTTTGTGCTCTCATATTTATTTTCCCATTTCAGCGCAGTGTGCGTCTCGTAACTTATAATAATAGATTCTCACTGACAAATATAATCTTGTCAGTGGGGCAGTCTGTAGTGCGATTTGTTTCCATATATTACTGCTGATACAATTTGATTAAGCAATTTCCTGTGCTGACAGGGAACACCCGTCTTTCCTGCTGTTATGTGATCGTGTGTGTGTGTGTGTGTGTGTGTGTGTGTGTGTGTGCATCTGGTCAGTGCAGGGTGCATCTGGAGCAGAGGTCCACCCACACAGGCTTTCAGCAGGGGATCCCTCTCCCCTCTTCGAGGTTAGACAAGACAAACCAAGCTTTGTGCTGAAACAATGCACCGCCTCATATCTTCACTGTGTCTGACAGAAAGCTGCTTTCTGAGGCGAACCACAACGTCAACCACCCTTTTGTATTCCCACGGCCTGTGACAGGCTCCAACATAGATATCAGGAAAATCATCAATGATTTTAATGTTCCGTGTTTTGCAGAAATTTAAATCAAATTTAACTTGATATTTACCAAGATCAAACTAAATATGTGTGTCTCCCTCTCAGCAGCAGTAGTGGGTCTTGATACGTACAAAACATGAACACATCGGAGGTTTTGCTGACACAGGCAGAAAAGCTAACGTTCGCTTCTTTGTGCAACAGAAACTGGGTTTCTCCGTAAGCCGAGGGGAAGAAACCATCAATTTGTGGAGGCCTCAGCAGTTATGATTAACAGCCCAGACGAGCAGCAACCATCTGGTCATTACTACTTCTGTTAAATTACATAACAACACCCGTGCATGTTCACAGGTCCTTCGCAACACTTCCCCATTTACCCACGCAATGGCAAGAAAAACAGAAACCCTGCCCATGAAGAAGATGTTTCATTCCATTTGCATATGTGAGCTTCATCAACAGGTTCACGCAACGTTAATACCATGTCTGCACTTGTTTTTGCATGTAAACGGATTACAGAAAATGTGCTTTAAGTGTGACAGACTATGAGAAAGGCATAATCATAGGTGATGTGCATGCAGTTTTTACTGTCACTTCGTGTAGAACTGCTGGGCTGTAATTTAAACACTGAATACTGAATGGATCGTTTCCTGTTATAGTGCAACAATCATCCAGGGATGGTTTGAGGAGCGTTCAGGTGACATTAATACCTGGTTACCAAAACTAAACATACCTTCAAACTGTTAATGTGCATGAGGAAACTAGAAGAGTGTACTGAGTAGATGCAGAGCTCTGCCATGTGTGTCTGGGGAGCATGTGGGTGGGGAACAGGGTGTGCAGGACAGGCTGTGTGTACAGCGTGTGTGCAGGAGAGTAGTAGTGGGATGGTGGGGAGACAATATGCAGGTTACATCATCAAGGTGTAACCAGAACAGGCCGGCTATATGGAGACAAACCTTGGACACAGTGTACAATAAAACCCCTCCCTAAATCCCTCCCCACTCCCAACAAACAGAGGAGTTGAATGAATCTCACAGGGATTTATTCATCTTTTATTGTACCTTATGTTAGTGGATCATGACATATCGGGCATGGAAGTAATTTGCAGATTCTCTAGTTCAAATAGAGACTCTTTTATGTCAAATGCCGAAATGTGGCCTGCAACAGACTAGGTAAGGTTTGTCTTCAGCCGAGTTGATTCCAGAACACTCTTTTGCTGCATGATTTTGCAGATCACCTGTGGCTTTTTCTGGCTGGTTAAGAGGAGTGACAAGTCAGCAGTCAATGATGGTATAAAAAAGGCAATAAAACAGGTTTTTAAAAATCTTGTGTCACCACAACCAAAAGAGGTCCTTGAGCTTACAGTCATAATTATGCACAAAAAATATTAAGGCCCAGACACACCAAACCGACATCAAAGTATCAAACCATTGGAGACAAATGCCAACTGTTGAGTCACCTCACGACTTCTGTGTGTCGGCAAAAATGTTGCACCTTAAAACACTGTATAGACTTTAGCCAACAGCCAACCAGCATGTACATTCTGCGCCTCATAAGAGGAAATTACTCTGTGTCAGCAGGCGGCGGTAGTCTGTATTCGTTATCAAAAAGGTAACTTAACTTTAGTTGTTTGTTTACTTTCCTCACTTCCGTTTATCTTCTCATGCATTGCTAATCAGAGTGATTTCAGGGGCTCTGCCATCTCTGACGCCGATTCAACATGCTGAATCAGCTGAAAAAAAAAGCCAACAAGGGCCAGCTAGTGCCAACAGTGCAGGACACACTGCCAAAACTAGGGTGACAGACTCTCACTGATGCTTTGACCGACAGCCGGCAGTCAGCTTGGTGTGTTAGAGCCCTTAGGCTGATAGGTCCAGTAGTATGTGAGATTAGCTGTGAACAGACAGATACACACACACAACCAAATGCATGGCTTATGCCTGGCAGAGATAACTACGGGTTCCTTGCTGAGTCACTGCCATAATTTGTGCCTGTTATCAGACTGTTATCCAACAAAGTACTTAACAGGGGTTTCTATTTTTCCACTGTACACGTGCAGTTTAATTCAAACTGCCACTGACAGTGACTGGGCGCAGGGTTATCACAAGACCTCAAAGAGTAACCGTAGAAAAAAAGCAACCTAAAATTAGCTTCAAATGTCAAGAACTAAAACAAGCTCAAGGACAACACTACAGTATCAACTAGAACAAAGATAGCCTTAGAAATCATTTCTGGACCGAGTAAACATTCTAACAGATATGGCCATTGTAGCATTCAGGCTAAAGCTTGATACAAATGCCTGAGAAACATATGTATCACGAGAGAGACCGTGTAACCCAGATTTTAACTTCCTGATAAAGCTTAAAGCCATTTCCATCCAGAAACAATATCACTGGAGCTCCTGTTATTCTTGTCAAATGGGCAATTTATGAAAAAGCAGAAAAAAATAAATGCATTCATAATACTGCAGCTCCATGACTGCCTTAACCTTGTTTGTAGCAGCAGGTCAGATGTGTCTCAGTAAGCTTTTAATGCAGTCTTGTTCCAGTAAGCTCTTAAGCAGGTCTGCATGAGACTCGGCTGTCACTTCACAGGTCTCACCTTGAGCTGCTTCTCCTTCTTCTTGCGTACATCCTCCCACTCATTGACGATTCGTCCCCACAGGATCCACGAGTCCTCCTCTAGGTGGGAGAGGTTGGAGGAGGCAGAGGAGCTGGACACCAGGGAGGAGCCACTGTTTCGTCTGGAGCCATTCATGGAGCGCAGCGACTTGCTGTCTGTCTCCAGCAGCCTGTCGTAAAGAGGTGGGATGTACTGTTAACACTGTATACAGACACAGCAACATGTTTGTTTTATTTTTAAGTCCACTACCAAGAAAGTTTGTTTCGATCAATTATCAAAATTCAAGGGTCTCTTCTCAAATGACACTGCTAAAGAATGGGGGAGACAAAATTCCGCACTCCAGCTTTAAGAATGGACTAAAATAAAACATTCCTTTTAAAAAAAGACAACGAAATCTTTTGCTAGAACCAACTAAAAGATACTAAGTTAAAGACACTGTACGTTAAATTCAGCCAATGCAAGAACAGACAGTCCACACATTCTGAAGACACCATATGTCAAACTAAAATCATTATAAAACAAGCATGTTCATGTCTAAAAGAGTCCTAGCCGGGTCACCCTCGTAGTAAATACTCAGACCACATAACCTTCGCCCCATTTCCTGCCTGTCTCCACACTGTCAATTGTCCAGCAAAGGCAAAAATAGCATGAAAATATGCTCAAAGAAAGTGCTCTAGTCCCGTTACTAAAAATATACTAAGTCTAAAATAGTCCAAATGTTTAGCAGGAGCTCAAGTACCAAACATTAAAGGCTGAAACAAAGACATGTTTACAGATGAATCAAAGTTTGAACTTTACAGTTCCAATATCTTGACATGTAACACAAACCTTGAAAACATTATAGTCAAAACACTTTAAGTGGAAATATTCTGGTGCAGCAATGCTTCTCGTTTTCTGAAGCTTGTAACTTGCACCAAATGAGCCACACATTGAAAGAATCACTACTTTATAACAGTTTTCGGGAAGAAAATTCCACATCCAGGACTTTTTCACGCCTGTTTGACATCCAAACAAGAGCGAGGAGTTGTGACTGCACTGCTTTCCCCTCTCCAGTCTTCACACCTTAACACTACTGAAGAGCTTCAGCAAAACTGAAAGAGACAAAAACATCACCAGGCATGCATGCATGTGCTGGACGAGCGCATGGGTGCTAATATGAGTCCTCGTACTCTACTAAATCAGTGCCAAGCAATGTGCAAGCTGCGACTTTGGCAAACAGACAAACCACATCCAGTGTTGAAATCAAAGCCGCTAACATTTTGAGGGTAGTGCTAAAAATGGAGACCTCATTTAAAAAGTCACTCTGCACTGATGTGTTACAGCTTTGTGACTGTAAAATAACCCAAAGCATCACAGTGACTGATTATCAGCAGTCAGTTAGCAATTAAATTCCTTCCCCAGATCAGTCAAGTCTAAAAGTTCACATCTGATTGAAGCAGCTTTAAGTGGCTTAAAGGCAGAGCTTTAATTGTGTACCTGCACTGGTGCACTTAACTTTTAAATTTACATGCACCATATTTTTACCTGCACTTGAAAATGTTTTCACTGCACCATTTGCTGTATTTGTCCGTCTTTCTCAGCACCAAATATTTATTCAATTCCTGAGTTTTAAAGTGAGAATATTTTCAGCGAGTCACAATGTCATTTAAACTGACTTTCTCTCAGACTACCTATAGTTATAGTCAAGGACATTTTGATCAGAAATCCATCTCTGCCAATGGTTTTATATCACTTTAGGACTTCTTTACTGACAGTTAAATGTTTAAAATTACAGCTGAAATGTAAGTCTTCCTTCACCCCTCTTGGTCACTCCAGGTGCCGGCGCTGTAACAGCACTAATAGACATGCATCATGCATCGTGTACCAGGCGGCGGCTGGTTTGACCGGGTTTTAGCAGCACAGTGCAGCTGTTGCACTGTGCTGCTCTGTCTTGTCCGTCTGTGCAATGTCAGTGTCCTCTTTTGTGCCACAGTGTTATTCGTTATAAATTTGTTTTTCATTGTGTAAGAAAATGGACGTGTGGCATAGGAGCATGTTATGAACAGTTATGTGCAGTGGTGCATGTAGAGCTGAAAATCCTGTGTGCACTGAAAGCTCAAGCAATGCGTTTTTCAGCTGGCTAATCTTGTACTGTATCACTCTTATCAGTTTGTCACTGGAGTTACTAACAGTAACCCAATCAAGGATCAGTATGCAGAGAAAAGAAGCTGTGACTCCCAACCTGTGCAGTCATGAGGAGCTCATGACAGACACACAAAGGCTCAGACACCTGATCTCGGAAAAAGGCCCAGGCCTCTCCAATGGAGCCTGTGACGTCACTGAGGGTGCTCCCAGAATGGCTAGGGTTACAGCCAAATTTGGGTCGTGTGGGAGGGAGGGAGTGAAATGGACGACAAAGAACGACCAGCCTGCAACTGAGCTTCTTCACTTGTATTCAGCTCTAATGTAGAGCTGGACAAAAACATCTTATAGCTAGAATCTGGCAACAATTTCCAGTTTTTCATGCGTTTTAGTTCATCCATCACAAACGGTTATACACACTGCACTAACAGGCTGCGTTACACATGAAGATGAACATACTTAGACCCCTGCTAATAATTCACCAGTAGTCAAACACAAGTCTGAGCTTTACAAATACAAAACTGAAAAAATACTGCAAAGAATTAGTTTTAGTCAAGCGATATTTGCAGTAAATAAAAGGAAATCTTCCATAAAATCTTGAGCTAGGACAAAAAGCATAAAGTGTGACTGTTAAGAATGTCACCATGACTTCAATTTGCACTTCATTACAGCAGGAGCCTAAAAATACTGTAAACCTTACCAAGATAAACTCATGATGTACTCCTCATGTCTCTGGTTTCTATGAATTCTGGAACAAAGGCATGTCTGATTTACAGATTGTAGCAGCCAGTGAAGGACTTCCTCGTCTATGTGGCTCTATTGGACAAGCACTTGTGCTTTTATCTGCTCTGTAGGGTACAAAGGCCTCACCAGATACACAAACACTCGGTACGCATGCACAGGATGCATCATGGTATCTGTCAAAGTCCTTCCTCCTGTTGCTGCACTTGTAAAGGCCTTAGTGACAACATGATAAAATCTGGGTGTTTGGTAGGTGTCAGTGTGTTTCTACAGGGTGGTTTACAAAAAAAGAGACTGCATTGTCATTCAGAAGCAAAGCGTGGCAGCAGAGACATGTGAAATGACTTGTGAAAGGGCCCAGCTGTGTGTTGGGGTGGAGGCAGGGGTCAAAGGGCAGATGAACTACGAGCCCCTTGATATGCTGGCTTCTGTTCACCAAATGGGAGTCTGCTCAGAGCTTCACAAAGGAAATTAGGGAGAAAATTAAACATTTCCCGAGTTGGTTTTGATCTGCCCTAATGAGGGAAACCATCACAAGTGTCGCTTGGCATTCTGGAGCTGTAGCTGTTGTGGGCGTACCGATGAGTCACCGACCTCGGCATTCAACAGGGCTTTGTCGACTCCTTTGCTGGAGTTAACTGTGACACATCCCGAACTCTGAACTGCACATTTGGTTTCCATGCTAACACACAAGGCACTAGCCATGGGTGAGAGTCACAACGAAGGAAGAATTCACAAAGTTGGCGACGGAGGGGTGTTGCGTCACCCTCTAACGGTACTCAGATCTGATGTGAACAAGGGCACCTCAGGAGAAGCACACAGAATACATCTCAATTTACAAAAGACTGATACAGAGACATACATAGTCAAGAGTTGTGTGACATCTGCATACAATTAAGAACTCAACAAATAAGCATGTTATGACGTAGATTTCTTAGGGCTGTACCCAACACAGAATGATCTCAACTCAAAGTTGTTTGATATAAATACTTCACTACTCAAGCCTTTTTTTTTCCATACAGAGTTTGAGCTGGGTTTGGCGGAACGTTCACATCATATAGTAAAGAAGCCAAGTTAGCCCTCTTAACTAACTGCATTATCAATGGATGATAGATAACAACGGAGAAGAAATGCTGAAAACAGGAGGCGTCTACGACGTCTGATCAGTTTTGTTCGGGTAAGTCGATTTGTTTAAATATTTTGACGCTGTGTTCAACCGAGTTGCTGATGAGTTTACACCAGTCCAACCATCTGTTGTTTGTATAGCCTACATTCCGATCATACAGTAACAAACTGTTTTCCAAAACTTGCCGAAGTTGCTGACTTTGCAAGGTGTTCTGGGAAATTTCATCTTCCACTTCACATACGTACTGACGTATTGCGGTAAGCAAGTTGTGTCATTTCCGGTGTTTCTGTGACAGCGTCTCTGTACTGCTCTGGTGAATTCTGCTAGCCTGCTTTCTCACTTCAGTTGCTTTAATGTCAACTTCAAGTCTTAACCCACAGTGGTTCTGTTTAAGCACTTATAGCTCTCCTCCTTTCTACGACTTTCTCGCTAATCTCTTAGCTGTTGTTTGCACGTTACTAGCCTTGGTAGCTACATTAGCTTTACAGTTAGCGATGGCTTCTCCTTCTGCTCTTTCTTGCTCGGTGTGCCAAATGTTCAGTTATGCCTCTGCCTCCTTTAGCAACAGTGGTAATGTAATAAGTGTAGCTTATTTGCTGCGTTGGAGGCGAGGCTTAGTGAGTTAGAAGCGCGGCTCCACACCATGGAAAACCATTCAGTAGCTGCGGTAGTTAGCCAGCCCCCTGTAGCCGGTGCGGAGCCACATAGCATAGCCTTAGCCTCTGCTAACTGTCCTCCGGCAACTCCCGTTCAGCCGGGAGGCTGGGTAACTGTTCGTGAGAGGCGCAGCTCCAAGCCGAAGCCCACGGCTCACCACCAGCCTGTTCACGTTTCCAACCGCTTTTCCCCACTCAGCGACACACCCGCTGAGGATAAAACTCTGGTTATTGGCAGCTCTATTCTGAGGAACGTGAAGTTAGCAACACCAGCGGCCATAGTCAAATGTATCCCTGGGGCCAGAGCGGGCGACATTGAATCAAATTTAAAACTGCTGGCTAAAGCTAAACGTAGATTCAGTAAGATTGTTATTCACGTCGGCGGCAATGACACCCGGTTACGCCAATCGGAGGTCACTAAAATTAATATTGCCTCGGTGTGTGAATATGCAAAAACGATGTCGGACTCCGTAGTTTTCTCTGGACCCCTCCCAAATCTGACCAGTGATGACATGTTTAGCCGCA